TCCTCAATAGCCTTACCTTTGTTGTGGATTGATAAAACCTTACACATCAATAACCATCTTCCACTCCATTGCTACAGCCTATCAAGATCACACTGAAATATTGTAGTGACATCAGTCTCTTTAATCTCTCTATATCCGTTTGTGTCGTTAATAAACTTCAGAAATGTAACGGACCCAAAAACTGATCCTTGGAGTATTCCACTAGTAACTTTATGCCATCTAGGTTCACTTATGTACCATGTATAAAGTTCCATTGACTAGTGGTGTAGTCTTCAATGTAGGTCGAAGGTCACAATGTAGGTCAGAATGACCCACTTTTGATACATGACACATCACTTACCTTGGTGAACCTTCAACTTGTATGTCCGCAGTAAGAAGTTCTAATGATATCTAGTGTAGGAGATCGGGCTCGGACAAACAGTTTTTAGCTTAATGTAGGTGAAATGTAAACATGTAGGTCATTGTGACCTACTTTCGATACATGACACACCATCTCATCTATGTTTTACGTGCCAATAGTATGAAGTTCCGATGTAGTGTAGCAGCTGATGTCCCAATTAAACGAATCTAGTTCTTCCCTTCATTAACATCTATTTGTTCCTATATGTTCTCGCTTTTTGTCCTTTTGATTGATAAAACCAGTAGAGAATCATTGTACATCTTTAATTAATAGAAAATAAACAGTCGTAACATGTATTATCTATACAGCTATATTCTTATGTCTGTGTATATAACATTTTTGAGGAGTCAGGTTGCGATATTACCTAGAACCTATTAATTACAACTGCTTGACTAGTCTCAATAGATATATGACACGTAAAGACAGTAACCATACATCTCACAACTATTTGTATACAATGCCTCGGCTATCTGTTTCGGTCGCCTTCAACCAAATGAACGCAGCTGTGTTAAGTTTAATTCAAATATCGATAATTTATGTGTGTATTTTAATAATTTTGTTTGGTAGAATTCCCAACAAAACATAAAACATAATTCTTAAAAACTTAATAGAGACTTTTTACAGTTTAAAATTGCTGACAACATGGGTTTGTCCGATTAAAAAAAACCATTTCACTGTTTACCTGTTAGTTACAGAGTAAACAATATGAAAGACCCACATATGAGTCACTTAGACACTGTATTGACACAAGTCGTATCGAACATAGAGACAGTGCATACACAGTAAGATGTGAAATCTATTTCACCATGTGTTTGTGTACTTGAGCTGTAAAATGTGTGTTGAATTTGTTCGTCATATCAAGTATTAACATTTCCATAAGTCATAGAGATTTCGTGGACAGGACAAAAAAGAATCCTGATTAATAAGAAAGTCCCGATCAGCAGGACAGGTCGGGCTTTTACACCTAAGCTACCTATTACGATATGGAAACTTTGTGGTAGGGTCTCATTTTATACGAAGTGACCGAATTTCTGATTGACGACATCTTCTTCGGGTTTGGGGTAAAACCTTCCAACAAGCTATTGGCATACCCATGGGAATTAACTCTGCCCCTCTGTACCGGACTTGTCTTTTTTATGAGACGGTGAATTTATCTAAAAGCTTATCAAAACAGATCACAAAGAACTTGCAAAGTCGTTTAACTTTACTTACAGATATTTTGACGACGTCTTGTCTTTAAATAAAAAGAGTTTTATTGACCACGTCTATCGTATATACCTACCAGAATTGGAAACCAAGGACACGACAGACATCTTCTACATGAACAGCTTATCTCGATCTTTTCCAACAACGAAACCAACATCAACAACTTTCAACCAACCTGTATGGTAAACGTGATGATTTCAATTTCCCTATTGTCAAATTTCCGTTTCTTGGTAGCAACATTACTGCGTCCCCAACCTATGGTGTTTTTACAGCGGGTTCGATATTCAAGGGCCTATTCCCATAATCACGATTTTCTCGCAAGAATTCAAAAGGTGCAGAGTGATGAAAATTGTGCTTACGTTTTAAGGTTGTCATAGGGATCTCATTCAGAAATATTTGCGATTTGAAGTTGGGTGTGTTTGATGCTCATGCCTGTATGTTCCGTTGTTGTATACCTTGTGCCATTTCTTACTTGTATTGACCAAGTTTACATGGCGGGTATCGTCGATGAAGCAGAAGATGTTTACTCTTCCGGAACATCTGGTCTTATTCTCCTTTTACTTTTTCAGGAGTCTTTGTGTAAATCTTTCCTTCGTTTATATATTGGCCCAAGTTTTATTGGATCTGAGTTTGGATTATGATTCTGTAAACATGTTGGTATTTTCTTGCTGTTTTAGCATTTGTTGATTTATCTGATGAATATCATAGACATGCATGTCCGGTCCTGCTCAAATACACGACAGCACGTGACGACACCTGATCTCAGTTCCCTGGAGCCCAATCTGCCCTGAAAGGGATCGAACGTGCAATTGGTACCTTCTTTTGATATTGTGTTAACCAGGAGCTGTACTGATTGAGTTATCTCGCCCAAACTGTTTGCAGATGAAGTTTGATAATATGGATAATTTGTTTCTAAATCTGTTCTACACCACTTGCGTTTTTTAAAGATGAAACTGTGGTGTGTTTCGGGGACATTTACTAACCTACTTAAACTGTCAAATCAACAATAATCTGCAACAGAATAGCCAAACAATCAATAACGTTTCAAACACATTCACCATTTCACTGGATGTTTATGAATAACTTATAAGGTAGATTGGAAACACAAAATCATTGAGGCCAGCTATCTTGTAGTGGTAGATATAAGTACGTGTAATTGTCGATAGAATAGGTCTTACATCATTTGGGTTGTATTACTTTTTATGGCCACTTTTATAGAAATAAATGTTTTATTGTTTGGAACACTGGATATATACCTTGCCGTACGAATGACAAAAATAAAACTTCTGGTACAGCTTCCAATGTCTAGGTATGTCGGACTGTGTTTTCCCTGCTGATTTCGTCTGAGTAGTTAACTTATAGTCAGGTGTGTATTTCAGTTAAACCTCGGCCGACACGTGTTGACTTTACGTCTAAGTGTACTTTAAGTCTGTACGGGGAACATTACGGTTCACAGAACCTTTAAGAAACAAAAGATTCTGTTTAAACTTACGTACCGGATATCCACAGAAGGGACAAAAATGTTTTGTCAACAAAGAATTGTAATTATCTTGACGTAATCAGCCGTTTTCTTTATATATATATAATGCTGACACAGTGCAAAATGGTTTCCAACAATAGAATAGACTTGGTTATAATACTACAGAGAAACCGTTCTTGTGTAAATATTTTGAATTGCTGTCACTCCCTACTAGTTTAGGAGACATGATTACGGCTGGTCAATAGAGAGATAATTTGCTCTTTTAGAAAGCATACACATGACAGTTTATGTTTATTAAGAGTCATTTTCAGTTTGTCGGTATCAGCACCAGCGAGTATTAATTTTCGAGGATAAGATAAAAGTTATATCTGGACACAATGGAGTAGATTCATCAGCTAAAAAGAAGATACATTTGAAGTCCGGGAAACCCAGTGTTTTAGTGTATATTGCTCAAGGTAGCAACTTTAACGATGTGAAAAATGATACATGATAATTACCAAGACAATTTTCTGATAACTAGCATTTGGATAAACCTCATTGAAATTACCTTTCCAAATACGCCGAAATAGAACATATTTTTTTATTTTATTACTGGTCACATTTAGGTCGCATCAGGCAGTTACACACCACACCTCTTTTATCCAACAAGCCCCGCCCCCGAGACATTTTATTCGGACCTTTTACTTCCTTATATCTACACAAGCGAACACACCCGTCGTTTTATACAGTAGAACAACTGTTTAGAGTTTCATTGGCACTATATTTACCACTCCGTGATATTTCCACTATATATCCTTAACAACTGTAGTTGCGCAATATCACTCCATAACTGCCAGCTGGTGTATGAATTTAACAGTAATGGAAACGAATAAATAATATTACCTTTTGTAGATGACAATTGAATTAAACATTGAAATATGTATTATCCGTTTGTTCACGCGTAGTAAACTTTGTTAGTACATTGAATATTTTTATGTGTATTCTTTTATCCAGCGCACTATTTTTTTACGCGGAAGCATCCGGTAAGTCTGCTGACAGGTCTCTAGACAATTACAGTGGGAAATTTTGATTTTATTTATAAATAAAGTGTAATTATATCATAAATCACAAGTGATAAATATAATCATTGAACTGCTTCAGTTAGCAATCATAAGCCCATGAATGCCAATTGAAAGAGGTCCAATGCTTAATTACCACGGTGTTGAAAAAACATGAAAATTTTACACGAATCTGTTTAGAATACCAAAACATGTCTAAATTGTTTAACGTAGTACATATCTGGCTAATAACAGGTGTTGGTAGATGTCACAGGATAGTGAAACATAGCGAAATATATTCAGTATTTGTAAGTACACAGCATTTGATGAGAAGGATACGACTATGGAAATACCAAGTAGTCATTTCCATAGTTCGGTTGAGGATGTAGGGGTTTTCCAAATGTTACATGTAAATTTGTATAGATGTTATCAATCTTCCTGTATTTCTTCATTAATACGCGAAATGTTCAAATAAATGTCATTTATATATCGTTGTGATATTTAAAAAAAAATGCTTTCAGTTTTCCCTGTTGTTATGGTCATTATATATTTCCCGACTTCTTAATAATGAACGTCGGTCCAACTCCTCTTCCGGCTAAGTCTGATTGTTCTTATCGTTGTACGTCCGTCCTATGTTCTGTGCCCAAGTTTGACTATCCTTACCTTCTTGTTCCTATCTTGTATCTCCGTTCGTCCACATGTCCGAATGTCTATGTCGTCACACGCCAGACCTAATTCCCCGTGCCCCGTGCGTAGTGTCCTTATTGCTGTATACCCGTCTTCATTCCCCGTGCTCAGGTCCGACAGTCATTGCCGTCGTGAATCCGTCCTTTTTTCCCTTTCACATGTCCAACTGTTTATTCGTCAAACGTCCAACCTATTTCCACGTGTGAATGTTGCACTCCTCAGCACTGTGTTGAGTTTCTGTGAAAATTTCTCGTCACATCCCGTTGTCGGAAACTTGATTACATACATAGTGATACGTTGTATAATCGCTATTGCGCGGAATGTAATGTCAACGTTTTTGGAAATATATTTACAATGTCGTGAAAGTTATGGGTAGTTACATATCACACACATGCACCCCCAACCCCTCCGCCCTCACACACACAAATACTCACACATACATACACACATGCTTGCTTGAAGTCTTATATATCAGTCCTTGTCGTACAGAAATACTGACGGCGAAGTTCCAAAGGAAATGGAGAGTTAATCATTTTTTAAGATATTGCTTGGATTTCAGAGAAGGAAAAACACGAATGAAGTGTTGCTATTACTTGATTGACATGGGGATTACTCAACGTTGGTTGAAATCTGATATAGCTCATTTTCATATTACTTCTACTTAACCCTGATTTCTGACCAATCTCCTCTTCAATCTCGCCTTGTGAGACTCTTACACACGGCTCTGCCAGCTGTTCCCATTAACACCGGCCGTAACCTCGTGCCAGTCAGTGCTAACTATGTAGTGCATTACAAGCGCTGAAAGGATTAGCATTCCTTACAAACACAGACCGTCTGCAAAGATGACCGGGAGCCATGCCGTGTTGTTTGTGTTAAAAGCAATCAGATACACAGACATGACTACGTAATGGTTATAAGCGCCGTCACCTCGTCCGCCTGCACCGGTTTCTGGTAAGACTGACATCAGTCCAATAACCAGGGAATTATACTTCTTCATTTTCCATTTCTAAGAAGATATCACTGTCTCAAGTTCACTGAAGCATTTAGTTTGCTAGCCAGTTAGTTAGTTCATTCGTTAGTTAGTTAATTAATCAGTTAGTAAGCCAGTAAGTTAGTAAGTTATGAAAAAAATCAACTGGTTTTCATTTATTCAATATATACCCACGTGAATATGACAATACCAGAAAAGTTCTCAGATAGTTTTAGACTGAATTACCGCCTCAGTAACAACGTTTCTTCGCTAGATGGCGCCCATAGTATTTTCGAAGCGACGCCTATCGGCTATTAGAAACAACTATTGCAGACAGGGTAGGGGGATATCCCCAATCCCGTTAGAATTCGCAAATAATTCCGAATCTGCGAAACTGGACGAGATGTCACAATTGAGTTTCTTTTAAACTTGAAATCAATGCGATTTATCACAAAAATCCATATTTACCAGTGTAATAACATTCATTACAAAATTGTTTGTTATCAAATATGTGTGATCTTTCGTCACATCTCGGTAAACTACATCAATACCGAAATCGAAATAGCCGAGGTTAGCCGAATGCTGTGCCTTATGACGATCCCGTCGTTTCTGTTGTAATGTCAGTACTTCATGACTTTATATGCATCGTGAAATCAGCAAAGAAAGGGATATTGAGTGAAAATATTGCCAGTTTAGGGGCTTTCTTTAAAGTATAAGAAAAATCTATTTTTACAAATAATTCCAAATTATTAATTGGTGTAATATACTGAATCTCGTCTTTTTTTTTCATTTCCTAACTTGTCGTATTTTTTTTTATTTTTTAGCTGGTTAAAGGCTCGGAACACTGATAAATAGTTTCATGTTACCTATGTAAGGTCCTCTACTTTATCAGTTGACATCATACGATATAGGTATGTACCTATATACAACACTGATGACATATACCAAGTCTGTATTATCCCAGTCCCTTAAAGATACAATCAAGTTGTTCACCAGCGATGTCCACCTGGGGATAAGTACCATTCACGCCATATTTTGACCTCTGATAAGGATGTCCATGCGGAACACATTGGGTTAAAATGGTTCCCGTGTTGAAAAAAAACATTTGAATATATATAGTAATAATATGTTTAACGAGAAACGGAAGTTACACATTATTATTTATATATAGAACGGCATCTTTCATAAGATGTTAGTAATGAACACATTTTTAAGATTATGACAAAGAGCCTAGCTAATCTCCGTGTGTATCAGCTGGGACGATAAGGAGATCAAACGAATGTCACAGGGATTTACCCTACCCTGTGTATGTTGTAATCGCCTTATAGATATACTCTCGTGTGGTATGACCCTAGTCATACGGACTCTGAAGGTCAGAGTCTAGGTTATCTCCCCCTGATAACCCATCATTACGTCATAAAAACGACCACGTGAATCATACACGATTGGTATACACAAATAATCAGTAACAACGATAACGTCAGATAGCATTGTCCACAGGCTACATTTAATCCGCGCTCAGGTATATAAATATGTATGTAGGGACGTGTCTTTCTAAATCTGTTACAGATAAATACTGACCTATCCTGGTCTATTCAGATGAGACATTCAACAGACTTACTGTAAATAAATGTCAGACAGCGTTTTATACAGGCTAGGATTGCTTCATATTCACTTAGACAGCAACAAGCTATCATGTCTTTAGTTCCCACTACGTATTGCCCTGGTGTTGCTTATTTCCGGGTGTGACTCATATTAACATTACCTTAGTGAAAACTTCTGTCGAAAAAAAATCGCTGTTGTATTATACGCGCATTGTGCATTCAAAAGACAACTTCCGCCCCCAAGACAAAACAGATCCAATGGTCATGCATGTTCAGGGTTCAGCTACCATAACTGATTCATTCCTGTAATTGTCACGAGATAGTAACAATTTGGTAAATAGGCTGGCCTATTGCAACGTTATCATCTTCTATGAAACATTTTTGTTCAGCCTTGAAATTAAACGTCAAATTTGAAAAAAGGCTTAAAAAAACAACAAACAAACAAAAACAACATGTGTGTGTCAGTGGTACATAGATCCTATTATAATGACCAGGATGTCTTCGAACCTAAACGTAAATAAGCCGTAAACAATGACACAACATTACGACAACAGTCCCTACACAGTATACAAACAAATATCTGTTGACAGTCTTACCATTTGTTCATGCAACCTTATACAGATACTACAATACATAAACTAGACTTTTAAATAACACTCGGGTAGGCATTCTTATTCATGTTCTAGACACAGTAAATTGTTTTGATGGTTGAGTAACTATGGCCTAGACAAGTGGGATAGGCAAGGGATATGATACGTGAAACTGACCAGTAATAAGAGACCCCACAATCCCAAGTTCCCTATAGCTATCTTATGTCACAGTTAGCACATAGGACAGGTACAGGTAACACATAGGACAGCTAATGGTAACACATAGGACAGTTACAGGTAACACATAGGACAGTTACAGGTAATACATAGGACAGTTACAGGTAACACATAGGACAGTTACAGGTAATACATAGGACAGGTACAGGTAATACATAGGACAGTTACAGGTAACACATAGGGCAGCTACAGATAACACATAGGACAGTTACAGGTAACACATAGGGCAGTTACAGGTAACATATAGGACAGTTACAGGTAACACATAGGGCAGTTATAGGTAACACATAGGACAGGTACAAGTCACACATAGGGCAGTTACAGGTAACATATAGGACAGGTACAGGTAACACATAGGGCAGTTACAGGTAACACATAGGACAGGTACAGGTAACACATAGAACAGTTATAGGTAACACATAGGACAGGTACATGTCACACATAGGGCAGCTACAGGTAACAAATAGGGCAGTTACAGGTAACACATAGGACAGTTACAGGTAATACATAGGACAGTTACAGGTAACACATAGGACAGTTATAGGTAATATATAGGACAGTTACAGGCAATACATAGGACAGTTACAGGTAATACACAGGACAGTTACAGGTAATACACAGGACAGTTACAGTTAACACATAGGACAGTTACAGGTAACACATAGGACAGTTATAGGTAATATATAGGACAGTTACAGGTAATACATACGACAGTTACAGGTAACACATAGGACAGTTACAGGTAATACATAGGACAGTTACAGGTAATACATAGGACAGTTACAGTTAACACATAGGTCAGTTACAGGTAATACATAGGACAGTTACAGGTAATACATAGGACAGTTACAGGTAATACATAGGGCAGTTACAGGTAACACATAGGACAGTTATAGGTAATACATAGGACAGTTACATGTAATGCAGTGAACAATTAAGGTAGTGACAAATACGACAAATTACAAGTAACACATACGACAGTTATGGGTAATGCATAGGATAATAAAGGTAAAACACAGGACAATTACAAGTTACACATACGAGAGTAACAGCAATGCATAGGATAGTTACGGATGACACATAAGACAGTAACAGGTTACAGGCTCGGTGAAGACCAAAAAGAACAACAGATGTTACCACAACCATTGTTTCAATGTAAACATCAAGGGATATTACAGTAACAACCGGAGACAACGTCATTTTTGAGTGACATCGGCTATTCAGATGGTGATATTGTACTAACATAATCAATAGGTGGTACACTGTATCACCAGTTGAATCAAACGCAGTAAAATGCACCCCCCCCCCCCCCATGGAGGTGCCATTGGTGACACATACAGGTTTTGACAGATGTAGCGACACACACAGCTTTGACAGGGAAAGCTGCATGTCTAGGATGTAGCGACACATACAGGTTTTGACAGGGAAAGCTGCCTGTCTGTGGTATATAAGGACACATACAGCTTTGGCAGGGCAAGCTGCCTGTCTGTGGGACGTAGCAACACACACAGGTTTGACAGGGAAAGCTGCTTGCCTGCGGGATGTAGCGACACACACAGGTTTGACAAGGAAAGCTGCCTGTCTGTGGTATATAAGGACACATACAGCTTTGGCAGGGCAAGCTGCCTGTCTGTGGGACGTAGCGACACACGGAGCTTTGACAGGGGAAGCTGTCTGTCTGTGGGTTGTAGCAACAAACACATGTTTTGACAGGGAAAGCAGCCTGCCTTTGACAGGGCAAGCTGCCTGTCTGTGGGATATAGAGACACAAAAGTTTTGATAGGGACATACGCCCTGTCCTTTGCGTGTTACATTGTTGCCACTGATAAAACCAACGTAACTTCTGAACATTATCAATAACCTTATAAATACCAATACTTTTGAAAG